TGTGTAAACCTTATAAATGAACTGTCAAAATTTGTATGGAGACTCGTTTACACATTTCTGATAAATTTCTCCAGCGATTTCACTTAATAAACTTGATAAACTGAAGCCAATGCAACTCTGTCGCAACTCTAGCTATGTTTTCTTGGGCAATAATCGGGATCCGCATACAAATTTTGCACGCGAATTCAACAACAACGATATGATCCTGATAGATTGTGCGGTAACGAAACTGTTTTTCTTATCGATACTGAAGTGTGTTGCGTGTGTATGTACGTACATGCATGCATGATTCGTGTGAGGTACAAGCAGGGATGGAATTTCAAAATGTGCCTAATGGTTTAAAAAATTGTGCCGAAAAGAATATGAAAGTGCCACAAAATTAAATTTCTTTTACAATAATTATTTCTTAATATAAAAATTATTAATTAACTCAATTATTACAGTAAATCACTTTTATGAGGGATTCTTTATAAGCGGCATACACGGTGCGTCTGAATCGCGAGTCGCTTTGGATGTGTTAAGTAAAAATAAAACTGTGTGTAGTCGAAAGGCGAGTGAACACGTACACAGTTGACTCGCGAGTCAGACGCACCGTCTATGTTGCCTATTAGACATAAACATAAATTCATAGTAAAATTACACAGAATTCCAATTACGGAAGGGAAATACACCGAAGTACAGCTATTCTGACATTCTTACACTCATATGTATGTACCTATAAGCGAAATAATGGCAGTAAGACATTTTGACCAGTTTCGCCTATTATTTTCATTGATTATTTTTTAATTGATTTTAAATAAAAGTCTAATTCAAAATTTAATAAACACAATAAATGTACACAAATCGGCATTTCAAACTTTGTACAAAAATTATAAAAACTCAGCAGGTTTTCGCAACAAAATACTTTGAATTCAGAATTTTTAGGGAGATTCCAAGTTTTCGATGTTATGCATTTTTTCCATATAAAGTGTGTTCGAAATTTTTTAAATGGATCAAAATGTATGACACGGTCAGAAAAAAATATCAAAAATCATCGGGATATTGCAGAAACTGGCACTTTCATTTAATAAACTATAAAACTGCGAACTTAAAATCTTTCCAAAAATTCTGAATTAAAAGCTTGTTGTAGCGAAAACTTATTTTTCGTACTGCATATTCACAACAGAATTCAGCGGTTTGCAAATAATTCTCACAGCCCTTATTTTAATTTGTAAGTGCTTTTAATTTTCACTTTTTGTAATCTTTTAATCTATAATGTGGTATGTAATTTTTTGTTATATATTGGCATGTGCAAAACAGGATGAATTGTACCAAAAGTGCCTCTGAGAATGTAAGGGCCAAAAAGGGCACTATTGTGCCTACTTTTCCATCACTGGGTAGGAGTGCTTGATTGTATCAAATTGTTCGAATCGATACAAAAATATGTTGCGTGTATACATATGTATATATGTACATATGTACGAACGAACATTTCCTTACGCTGCAAGATTCGTTTCGTTACTCACATAATAGTCTCGTTACTCGCATGTTCCGTATATGTACGGTGACCATAAATATGGATTCAAAATGAAGGACAATTTTTCAAAAATATGCCTACATATATTTACGTAGTATAAAAATATCAAAAGAGTATTTATGATTCTAAATTCTTAATACATTTTAAACTTTAAATATGAATCACGTTTTCTTCATCGATATTAATCTTTTTTACATGAATATTTATAAAAGTATAGTAAAACATATTATAATTAAAATAGTTTACACGAAAAGTGAAAATCTTTAAAAGATTATTTTATAGGCAAATTTTGAGTCGTTCAAAACGAAAACAGTACCATTTTTTTGTTTTTTTGGTACTTTTCGCAGTTATTTGTCAAAAGTCGAGGTCATGAATCGACGTAAACGACGAGTTACAAAGTGCCCTTTACAAAAATATATAATTTGTGCAGATTGCGCTCCATAGCATTTACATTTCTAATCCGATTTTCAGTATCTTTGGCTCAAAATTTACTGTAGTGATATATCTTCTTTATGGAATTTTAAAAATAATGATAAAAAGATCAAATGAAACTGCGTATTTGATTGAAAATCTCACTTTTTTCGACTTTGACGACAAAATGCAAATGGTCGCCTGTAGCACTAATAATTTTCATTGAAGTCGCCACAAGTTATATATTTTGGTAAGAGGCACATCAATACCCTTCGAGCTTCGCTTACGTTGATTGGGAGATTTTTTCATGAGATATTGAAGAAAAGCTACGAAAAGTACCCAAAAAAACACTTTTTTGAAAAAATCCATCCATTGTCCGATAATTTTAAAATAACGAATAAAATGTGGGACAAATGCAGGACACTTGGAAAAAATCAGTACATTTTCAGGTTTTTCAGGTTTGAAACACTACGCAGGACCGACCTTTGAAAAACAGTACGGTCCTGCAAAAAACAGAACGGATGGTCACCGTACGTATATGCACCATCAACGTGAATCAATACCAGCGTTGCCGTATTGGTCCAATTGGACCAAAATTGGTAGGCTCATTATCCTGGTAGTTTGGTTGGTAGGATGAAGCTTTTGGTAGGCAAAAGTGAAATTGCAACCAAATTGAGCAATAAAATTTGTTTGCTTAAGATTACATACTGCCAGTGCTATCTACTATTTATAGTAGCTCTAAAAATATCTATGAATGGTAACCCTGTATTCATAGCAAGCAAAGGAAATAATGACAAGAGAAAGAGTGAAAGAAAGATGTTAAATGTCAAAAACTTGGCATTTGTGCGCCTTTCTTCAATTGAATTTAACAAACAAGCGAAAAGATTAGTGATGGACAAGTAAGTTAATTTTGCTTTAAATTAGTTACTTTTTAATCGTTGTTTATTTGCAGGTATATCTATAAAGCCTCTAAACCGTCCGAAGTAAGTGTGGACAATAATAACGACGACTTGTTCAGGTAAAAAATTGCGACTAAGAAGGCATGTACATTAGAGGTGTTCTTAAAAATAAAAACATGTTCTAGATGGTGGGATTGGGTTATTTTTTTCCTTTCCACCTAAAAATAGCTGGGATAAAATTTGGTGTAAATTGGATGACGAAAAGTCGGCGCGGAAATCAAGTAAAGTTTGAAAATTAACCTACAAGGACGAAAAATCGGGTTTTGCAGATTTTCGTTAAAATTTATTTTTGTAAATATTATATTTTTGATACAAATTTAATAAAATTGTCTATACAACAATTTATATATCGAGCTCTAACTGCCAAAAAGACGTAAGTGACATTTAAAAAATTTTTTTTTATGCAAAAAAGCATCTAGATGCTCTGCAAACATTTCTGCATCAAAAACAAAATTTTGAAAAAATGTCGCTTACGTCTTTTTTGCGGTTAGGGATCGTTATGATAAACTCGGTTACAAAATAAATAAGTTGCCGGGTTTTCGACTTACCTTTCCACCTAACACTAGCTGGGATGGCTCGAAATTGGATAACGAAAAGTCGGCGCGGAAAGCAAGTCAATTTTGAACAAGTTTCCCCAATTTCAATTCAGTGTTTTTGAAATGTTTAAATAAGTAGGCCATATTCAGAATTTAATATGAATCATAACGTCAGTTTAAGTTGAAACTTTGTGCAATTTAGTAGTGCGTTTACTCGAATAGTTCTTAAACATTCTGAATTCTATCCGCGATTCTAACTAAAGTATTTGTAACCATAATGTCCGAACTACCGTCAACATCGACCGCGTCATCGATTCAAACCCGTCAACGCGTCGAAAGTGTGGTTCGTGTAGATTTAATTGGCCAAATTTCGCATCAGATCGTCGGCGCAAAGTTACCATCGAATAGGCAAATACTACAGGTTCTATTTTACAATATGCGTTTCGTTTATCGACAATTGCG